TAATCCTTCGGCAACCTCCTCGCATTTTCTGTTCTCCTGATACGACGCTACCTCGGTACCCGCTCCGTGGGGTACCACCATTGCGCAGGTGGTACGGTGGTGGTACCTAGTACCGCACCGCCGCGGCACCACGGAACGGAGTATCATTACGTAGCGTAGACAAAAGTCGACGTTGAAGCGCTACCGGTTCGTACACGATCGTAAACAAACTTGGAGGTGGGCGCGGTCAGTACCGATACTTTTTATTTATAATTTGGAAAAGGCCAGTGAGGTGGCAGAAATTGTAGTATATTATGTGGTTTTTTTCCAGAAGTTTTATCAAAGCATGGAGACGAGCGTGGTCAGGACAGATGCAATACGGCTTGTTTTATAGACGAAGGAGTTTTCTGGGCCCGGACTCTCGTTCTTCAAGACGCTTATCGAATATGACGTCATTTGCCTAGTGGTAGTTACAGTACCTACTGGCATACCAGTTTGCTGGCATTAATGAGCCATTTGAATTCTTGGGCTTTTTAATTTTTGCCTTTTGAAACCATTTTACTCATCCCCTTTCTTGAAACCTCCAACAAATCCGTAGGAAGTATGGAGACAACCTACTCGACGTCATTTTCTCCCGTCACATGCTTGTAGATTCGCTAATACCCGAGGCCCCGTTTCACCTTCACCGGTAACGTCTCGCCAATGTAAATCAATGCCAAAAGTATGATTCATAGTAGGAAACAGAAAGCCCGTTCGTCACGAACAAAATGAAGCAAAACAAACAACAGCGAATCCAATTTACAAGCCTACGACATCCATTATCCGGGCAGGCCGTTGCCATTCATCATAGCGGGTACCGCCGGCTGGCGCTGCGCAACGTGCCGCGATGGTACCTCGGTGGTGGTACGACGTCGGGTGGGGACACGGCTAGCTGTACCTTATCGCGCTCCGCAGTCTTATGCTCCAGAAGACGCAAGCAATCTTCATTCAACGAAGAAGGATTGCAAGACCTCTCGAAGCATCCATCTTCGACGAAGATATTCAGTGGAGCGACAAAGTCAAATATCTGGGGATCGTATTTGACAAGTCCCTCAACTGGAAAGCCCACATAGAAGCTGTCATCGCAAAGACCAGAGCAGCCATGGCTCAACTCTACCCATTACTGGGTAGACACAGCCGGATGCCGCTAGCGAAAAAGCTACGGCTGATCAAGGCCATCGCCAGACCTCAGCTCGCTTACGCCTCCGCGGTCTGGGGTACGCTGTCCCGAGCTACCGCAAGCGACTTGCTGCTCTAGAGATGAAGCTACTCTGGATCGCCACCAGTGCACCATCCTACGTAAGAAACTCAACCTTGCGTAGAGACCTGCATTGGGACACCATACATGAGGAAAAAAGCGGAGAAGACCTTCGAGAAAGCTCAGGACCACCCGAACGAGCAGCTACGATTCCTCATGGACTACGATTCGGACGAGAGTCCTCGCAACCGCAGAACCAGGTACCCTAGACCAAGGTCCCAGTTGTCACCCGCTAACTGGAACCTTGACTAGGAGACTAGGAGAACCCGCGGTTGCTCCCCCCCCACGGCGTGGATGCAGAGGACCAGGAACCACCGGGACCAGGACCCACCGGGACCAGGACCCGCCACGACCAGGACCCACCAGGACCAGGACCCTTCATGACCAGGACCAGGAACACCATATTGGTAAGAGGACTTGAAACTCTTGATTTTTCGAAAACAAGAGTTTCAAGAGAACCTAGCAGACCCTCTATCGATGATCGCTTAACGACATCGATAGAATGTGCGAGGTAAAGGGAACCAACCCGGCGTTCCCAGAGACTGAAACACATGAGGAGACGTTGTAGCAGACCGCAGGTCACGCACAACATATGGCCTACCGAGACGCTGATGAGTCGGGCCACGCGGAGGTTTAGGGTTTAGTGGGAATTAGGTGGTCTCCTCAAGACCCTGGAGTCCCACACACGCCGTAGCTCGGGCCATGGTATGGTGCGTAAATGCATTCCCCCCTCACCAAAAAAAAAAAAAAAGTCTTATGGGTCGGTTATTTTCCTAAATGGATCAGGCATCGCAACCGATAGTGCGTTGAGGCAAAAAAGGGCGTCAAGAAGGTTGACTCTATACCAGGGTGTCCCAGCCACAAATTTGTGTTCCTAATTCCTTATTGGACAAATAAAACACTGCTTTCTTTGTATCTCGTATTTCTTAAATATCCGTCAGTACGAGGGATGTCTTTTAAGTTTTGCCGAAAGCAGACAGTAACTCAGCAAGGCATTCCTGTTGCGATAATTGTCTCTGAAAGTTGTAATAAATTACACTGGACACCAAATTTTAGTTTTTTAATTGTATCTTGTGGGAAAAGTGCACTTCTTTGTTAATTTTGGGGCGCTGAATCCAAAAATGACAATGAAATAAAAAAATTAGTTGCGGTTTAGAAAAAACACTTTTTATTTTTAAGGATATATTAAAAAAAGTAACAAGATTCATATACTTATAAGAATCACTATATGCGCTGTCTTTTTGCTGTTCTTTTATGGATCGTTTCTGGAGCATCTCTACCAAGAGTCCAACAGTAGTCTGCAAGCATGGAAGGATTCCACTGTCCCTGGTACCTTTTTTCCATTGTTGAAATATCCTGATGAAAACGTTCGCCGTGCTCATCACTTACGGCTCCGCCATTGTCAGGAAAAAAGTCCAGGTGTGAGTGTAGGAAATGTATCTTAAAAGACATATTACAGCCCATCTTTTGATACGATGACAGCATATTTTTGACAAGGGTTTTATAGTTGTCAGCTTTTCTATTTCCCAAGAAATTAGTGACCACCAGACGGAAATCATTCCAAGCAGTTTTTTCAAACTGTGTATCTTTCAAAATATTTCGAATCTGTGGCCCAACAAAAATACCTTCTTTAACCTTTGCCTCACTTAGTCTTGGAAATTTCTGACGCAGATATTGAAAAGCTGACCCATCTCTATCTAATGCCTTGACAAAGTTTTTCATTAGGCCCAACTTGATATGCAGTGGTGGTAATAAATTTTTTTTCGAATCTACTAATGGCATATGCTGTACATTTTTTTGACCTGGCTCTAGGAATTGGCGAACAGGCCAGTTTTGTCTGGTGTAATGAAGTGCCTTTGTCCGACTGTCCCATTCACACAAAAAACAGCAAAACTTTGTGTAGCTTAGCTGCAGCCCAAGTAAAAGTGTAACAACTTTCAAATCGCCACAGATATGCCATTGGTGCTCATCGTATTTTATGCATGTCAATAGGTACTTCATATTGTCATATGATTCTTTCATGTGAACTGCATACCCTACAGGAAGAGATGGTAAAATATTTCCAATATGCAATAACACTGCCTTTAAACTCAATGTTGAACTGTCTATAAACAATCTCCATTCTTCTGGGTTATAATTTATACTTAAAGCCGCCAGTAAGCCGTTAATGTTACTGCAGAAAACCAAGTTATTCTCCATATTGAAAAATGGTTCTAAGTCTTTGTGGCGTTTACGAAAAACACATACCGAAACATCGTCTTCTAACAATTTCCACTGCTGCAGTCTTGATCCAAGTAACTCTGCCTTACATTTTGGAAGTTCTAAATCTCTTACAAGATCATTTAATTCTGACTGTGTTATTTTGTGCGGTTGGTGGCATGACGTGCTCGGTATAAAATCAGAATCTCTTGACGTTGATGGCATATCTTCTTCCTGACGAATCACTCGATCGCCATGATCTGATTCGTTTTCTGATTGGCAAGTGTAGGATTCTGGGGTTTTAGAATAGGATTTTCGTCACTGTGAGGCACAGGTCTGATCGCAGATGGTATGTTTGGGTAGTTAATAACCGATTTTTTTTCTTGGACATACCTGTGGCTTGTCCAACACAAGGTACCATGTAAAAGTAACAATCATTAATATGATTTGTAGGCTCTCTCCAAACCATTGGGACAGCAAAGCGCATTGACCGTTTTTTGCCATTTAACCAGCTCCTCAGACTTGAAGCACATGTATTACAGCAGATGTGGGGTGCCCACTGTTTGTCTTGATCACCTAGTTTACAACCGAAATAAAGCTGAAATGCCTTTGTTATTAGTGGAGTAATAGACCGTCTCTGAGACGCAAAAGTCACATCACCACACACGTAACAAAACTGATCTGGATTGTTTACACACTTTCGAGGCATCTTGCATCAACGCTGTCAGCCAACTGAGGAAAAAATGGCTAATATAAAACAATATAATGTACACGTATGTATAACGTAACACAATCATGCCGATTACATCATCTTTCCTTGCCGAATTTAAAAATGTAGCACGTGCATTCTTGAGAATTACAGTATATTAACACTGTCACAGCAGGAACACATATAATTACCGTATCTCTAAAACTTGAACTAATATTGAAAAAATAAGTTTCATTCCGGTTTTAGCACATTAAAAATAGTAATATTTTGTTGATTTTATTTAGGATATTTTTTGGCTGTTGATCAGTGTTATGGCGCGAAGATGTTCCCGGTTGAGTTCCATTTTTCTAATGACTTGGCGATACTTAACAATTCACTGTAGTGAGAACACTGCACGTACTGTTGTGAAACTTTGAATTTAAGTTTACTAAAGAGTGATGTTAAGTGATCCGCGCGGCCTACTATGTTTCTATATGCAAAACTTAAAAGACATCCCCGTAAGAGAACATCATTTACTAAATTTTCTTTTTGTTCCTCATCAGTATTGATTAAACCATGGAAGTCTTGTATTAACCTGACTGCTCTTTCTGCCGTATCGTTAACTGCTGTCAGTGTTTGTACAGTATTCCTAGCATGTTGAAAATAATCATTATGTGGCCATGAAGTTGGATACTCGTCGAGAAAACTGCCATCAATTCAGGCATGATAGTTTTTCAGTATAAATCTGTATCGTCTCGGGATCCGCACTTCTCCAGGTTTCGCGAAAATTTTTAAACACGGTATATCTTTTCGAAGAGCGCTGTAGGTTTTTCAATACTAGAACCGTAATTCCACAAAGGGACATCCTGTGGTAGAGTCGGCGTTCACTTGCCATCTGCTGTCAGTTCTGTATTTTGAAAAATCCCGTCAAATATGGCCCTTCAAATTCAAAAACAAGTGTGGAAAACATGTAAACCAATCTTTTCTGTATTACAGAAAAAACCGTGCACAGCAGAGGCGGTTGCAGAAAACAGAAATTTCTTCACGTTCTTGAGCAGGAAATCTTCAACGTTGAAAGAAGATAGGTCGAATAAGGTACATTTGGAGGACAAAGTGGCTGTAGTTACCGGAGGTGCTTCTGGTATTGGATATGCCGTAGCTAACGAACTTTTGAAAGAAGGTTGGTCAATTGTAAACAGGGTACTATTTACTATTCGTCATTATTCGTCAGAGCGGTCCGGTGGACCTTTGCTCTTAGTTAAAAGTCTCGTCGGTTTGTTAGTCTGTCAGGTCTGGTGTAAACAGGGTTTACATATTTTCGATCATAAACCAAACAGGATGATTTACTTTGCGTTTCTGAAACTAGAGTGAATGGAAACGTCAAATGTTTATGTTCACTGAGTCCGCACTAAGTTTCCGTCTGTCTGTGTTTTGAATTCTGCTCGAATTTTCATGAAATTTTTACACAAAGTTGCTACTATGCCTAGGAAACTAGAGTTTATAGTTTTTCAATTCAGTGGCGGCCCAGGAAAATGCAAAAAATTACAGAAAAACGAAAATTGCTGAAACTTAGTTTTTCGATGTTCATTGACCATTTTTTAGGGGTAAGAAATTAGGGAGTGGTGTGTTGCAGGAGGGGCGGGTGAGGTGTTTCGCAATTTTTTGAGGTTTTATTTTTGGAAAAACGCTCAGACGCATCGATTTTGTTTTCGAGGGGGACACAAGTTTGGCAAAAAATCACGTTAACACGTGCCGCCCCCTAAGCGGGGGTGACACCACCCCCAAAATCTTAAATGAAAAGGGGGGTCGAGTGATACCTAATTTTAAAGGTCCTTCAATTCCCTTTATAATGATGTAAAATACATGAGCTTCAACTCAGCGTTTTTGGATAAAAAACATATCTATGTTATACACGCTATGAAATAATCAGATGAAAAGGATTTAGAATACTGCTCCAAACAAGTAATAAAAAAAAACGGACATGCGACCTTAATATAATGCGTTGGTCTACTCTTTTCTGATTTCGACAGCACCGACTGTTTAACAGTAGCGTCTTTAAAACCGATTTAAGATGTTTCAGGGACATCAAGTGTAACGGTGATTGACAATAACAAAGAAAAGCTACAAGAAAGCGTCAGACATTTGGGAGAAGAGCACGGAGAAGACAGGATCCTACCTATTGAAGCTGATGTATCAAATATTGAGCAGATGGATGCTGCCTTCAGAAATACCGTTCTGCATTATCACACTATAGACATTATTATCAACAATGCTGGTGAGTTAATCCAATATCTGAAACTTACCCTAATGTGTCTCATAAAAGACTGATACAACTGATCGAACCAGGCTCTTAATGAAAACCATACAATAACGCAAAACGTTTGCCAAATTTAGATAAACGATATAAGAGTAGAAGCAAAAAACGCAAAGATTTTAAACGGCAGGGGTCGAGGATATCAGAAAAGTCTGTGTAATAACACTCTTATTTTTATATATATATATATCACAATTAGCAACATCCTCACATACTACTGTGAGTTAAGTTAATTTAAATTCATTTTACACTATTGTTGCTACTGTTATCAATGTAATTGCAGCTCCTGATGATGATGGCAAAGTCCATTGAAAGCTAGAGAGAATAAAAAAAGTATAAAGAGTCCTCTTTGCTTAAAAAGTACCTAACAAAATGCGGAAGCTTTAATTCTTCACCTCAGTTAGGTGAAAAATAAAGCTTCAGCCTTTCGTTGGGTACTTCGACAAATTCAAGCAAAGAGGACTCTTTATACTTTATTAATCTCTAGCTTTCGATGGACTTTGCCATCTTCATCAGGAGCTGCAATAACATTGAGAAGAAATAGCAACTATAGTGCAAAATGATTTTAAATTGACTTTCAGTCACATACGACTTTAAGTTACTGCAGCTCCTGACGAAGATGGCAAAGTCCATTGAAGGCTAGAGATTAATAAAGTATAAAGAGTCCTCTTTGCTGCTTTTGTCGAAGTACCCAACGAAATGCGGAAGCTTTATTTTTCATCTATATATATATATCAACTCCTTTCGACAAGTCCTATAAGCAGTTAAAACAAATGACTCAACTTTGAAAACACCCTGTAGGATAAGGTTAATTATGAGATCCAGAGGTCTCTCCTATATCAAACATTTCAACTTCGATAATTTTCGTCGCAACTGAATAACACTCATACTCAAAAACTCGTTTAAACGAGCGCGCGTTTTCTTAATGTTCATTTGTCTTACCAACTGTAAAAATAGTTATACCTGCGTTTTTTGAACCAGGTGCTCCGATAACCGCATTAAGAAGTAGAAGTACAGTACAGTTGCAATGGGTTAGGCTTAGACGGAACTTCAATAAGAACCAGTTAATTTTTTATGTAGGCATTTTGGACGACGGAAAATGGGAACAAGAATTGAAGATCAACACTCATGGCTGTGTTATCGGCACCTTGTTAGGGATGCAATACATGGCTAGGTCCAGCTCTGGATCTGGAGGGATTATAGTTAATGTTGGGAGCTTAGCTGGCTTGACGCCTTGGTGTGGCTTTCCCATATATACCATGACGCAGTTCGGAGTTGTAGGTAACTATCAAGATGCATGTACATTAAGGGGAAGAGAAGCAATTCGTTTCGCATTGCTGAAAAGCTGCTGCCATTGCGTCCTTAACTGAAAGTGTTGACTATAGTAACGTAAGACCGTACGTTTTCTCTTTAAAATACACGAAAAGATCGCCTATATACCTTGAAGAACTCAAAGCGCTACAACACCTTTGCATTGGCGGCTCGTGGCAAAATAAAACAGGTGTTTGCTTTTTTGTTTCTTTTACTGTTTCCTTCAAACTATTTTGTATCAAAAATTTCAAAAGAGACAGAGTTCCATGTAAATCTCGGCAATCATTCCGTGCATAAATAACAGACAACTCTGTATTTAAACGACTTTTTTCTAATTAATCAGTCCACGAAATATTCCCGGGTTTTGGGAGGTCTCTGTTTCGTGGTGACCCCGTAGCGCCAATTCAAATGCTCCGCAAAATTTTATACCGAGCACCGACCGACCAATCAGATATCGTACTTCCCATTAGCTCTGTACGGATCTGTATAACGTACAGCACATGCTTATGCTTAAATCGCGCACTTGATTTTGTAGAGAGAGACAAAAGCAAGCGCGTGCGGCTTGTGTCGAAGTAGTGCACAGACCCTTTTCAAGTGGCCCATGCAAAATGTTACGCTGCGGTCGCGACGAAAATGACAAGTACACAATTGGTCGATTATAATGCTTTCTCAATACAAAACAGACTCGACGCCGTGTCTTGCGGGGGCAGCGTTGCCGGTATTGTTTCTATTTATGTAATAGCACGGAAAATAAATAATGATCAAATTACTACTGTTTTTTTCTGTTAAGACAAAAGTTTTGGCAGTTCTGCAGCCGTCCATGAGCTTTGCCATTCATTATGGATAATACAATTAAGAATCTAGATGATCATATTGAAACAATACTGGTAATGATTGATTTGTCAAACGCATTTGACACAGTTAATCAGCGTATTCTGCAAAGTAACCAAAAGTATTTTGGTCTGAGTGATAATCCTGTCATGTTCTTTGAATCTTATTTGGCGAATCGAACTCAAAGAGTGAAAAGCAGCATAGGTGTTTCAGATCCCAAAGACGTTCCATCCCAGGCTCAACCTCAGGACCTTTATCTCACCCAGTTTTTACTTTTGATTCGTGTATGAAACACAACTAACATTCAGTTTTAACTCTAGTAACCTCAATGAAATTTCGTAGATTTAGTCAATGCTGAACGTTTTTATCGGAGGCACTCCCTAAAGATCAATCCTAGCAAGTCTAGTTTTCCACTGAATCCGATTTGTGCAGGCGAAATTCATCAGCAAGGAGCAGTTACCAAGTTTCTAAACGCTGAGCCGGCAGTGCAGAGGTGGATTTCACGTATAAAAAATGGCAACTATGTAGAAAAGATCAATGTTTCCAATGGTAGTCCGTTTTTTTAAACAAAAAAATTCCACGTGTCTAAAAAAATATAGGATCTTTATTTCTGAAATAACCCTCGTATTTTCAGTTATAGTTAGTCGCGAGTATGGATTCCTTAGGTAATTAACAACACAAAGTGCATGGGTGTGTATTTCCGCACAGGTTTGATATTTGCTTAGAGTTCTGTGCATACAACCTAGGACTTACGGTAATATTTGTAGACCTATGAAGTGATTTCTGCACATTGATCCATAACTGGAATTGGTAATTAACCTCAAAGCCGTCTTTTGTGAAATTTTGCTAGATGCTAATGAGTTTCGTCAGAGCATTTTCGACGCATCTGCTTAGCTGCCTAAGAACAAATAATCGTTTAGGCAGTCTAGAATGCAAAATAACCAGTGTGTGATGTCCAGCTTAGTCTGGTATCAAGTACTATTTCTAGAAGTTCTACTGGGTCTAGACAGCAAGGAGGTATAGTCTGCAAATAGGAAGCGGGATCCATTCTCAGCACTCGAGGGTGGGTCATTGATATAATGGGTTGTCCAATAGGGACGCAGGAAAGTAAACGTCAATTTGACATAGACGCCATATTTGTTTTCTGTCACCGACATGTCATTTTGTTAGTTAAATGACTACTATTGATCGTTATAGAGTCGTATTCGATTGAAGACCGCATTACAGTTATTCAAGAGCACTACAAAAATGGTGCCAAAAAAAACACGTTTCGCGCGCTTCGTGAACATTTCGGTCGCAACAAGCGCCGAAACGAAACAACCATCGGTCGTCTGGTGCGTAAATTCGAGGCAACAGGTTCTGTGGCAAATCTGCCAGGCTCTGGCCGGCCAAGGAGCGTTCGCACATCGGAAAATATTGCTGTTGTGAAGGAGAGTGTGAGAGACGATCCGAAACAATCAACAACGCGTCGATCCCATTTCGAGAACCAGTTTGCTCCGCATTCTCCACAAGGATTTGAATGTACACGCTTACAAAATCCAATTGACGCAAGAGCTGCGTCGGGCCGACCATTTTTCGCACCGAACCTTCTCATATTGGCTCCTTGAACACCGCCAAATTGATGCCAATTTTTCATCAAAAATCATGTTCAGCGACGAAGCGCATTTCACTTTGAATGGGACGGTAAACAAGCAAAACTGCCGCATCTGGGCGAACGAAAATCCCCGTGAGTATCAAGAGCAGCCGATGCATCCTCAAAAAGTGACTGCGTGGTGTGCATTGTGGTCAAAAGGCATCATCGGACCTTACTTTTTCGAAAATGCGGCCGGGGACGCCGTTACCGTCAATTCTGAGCGATATCACGTGATGATAGAGGACTATTTTTTGCCGCAACTTGAAGGAATGGATATGGACGATGTTTATTTCCAACAAGACGGTGCAACATGCCACACAACCAACGTCAATATCCATCGATTGCAGTCCTTCTTCGATGATCGCGTGATTTCGCGCAGAGGAAATGTGCCATGGCCACCAAGATCGTGCGATTTGACTCCGTTGGACTTCTTTTTATGGGGATATTTGAAAAGCAAAGTCTACGTCAACAAACCAGCCACCCTCCAAGAACTCAAAAACAACATCATTGCCGAGATAAATGCCATAGAACCGACCATGTTGCAAAATGTCATTGAAAATTTCGACCATTGTGTGGACGTCTGTAAATCCTGTCGTGGTGAACATTTGAGCGATATTATTTTTCATACATAAATGGTATAAATGGACCTTCAAAATAAAGTACCCAACTTGATTTGAATATCAATCTTTCTTGTTTTAATATGCGTTTACTTTCCTGCATCCGTTTTGGACAACCCCATATATTAGAAATAGCGAGGGGCCAAGTACTGATCCCTGCGGTACCCCGTTGCAAATAAGCAAAATGTCAGAGGTGGTACTCAGACTCAATCAAATTCTTTCGTAAAGTCACACAATGGCAGCTGCAGTATTGTTCTATAGTAAATCCTCTAATAAGGTGAGAAGCGCTTTTACTGTGGTATACTTTTCAGATAATGATTTCCCATAAGGATTCTGCGACATCCTCCTATAATACAGTATGACCGGAGTAACAAACTTAACATTATATTTTCAGGTTTTACAAAGGCGCTGGGTTCTGGTAGACTATACGAGAGAACCGGCGTTAAGGTGTTTGGATACTGCCCGTGCCTGACCAAAACGGCGATGTTGGAAAACCTGGCTGAAAAGTCGATCAACGACAATTTTGCCGCGGAATTCGTCGAGGATACCGGCAACATGAAAGTGCAGCGTCCAGAAATTGTGGCCAAGGGGCTGGTCGGTACACTGCACGAAGCCAAACCTGGCTCGATTTGGGTGGCGATGGAAGACAAAGAGCCTTTTGAAGTTAGCATGTCCGAAATGCTGAAAAAGGCTGGACAGTCGGTGGACCAGGCTACTAGATAGAACATCATCGACCAGAAGCGCGGAAAAGTAGAAGCAGATATTATTTTTTGTAGTGTATATATTTTCCTTTCCAAATAAAATATTTGGATTTCAGGAACACCTTATAGGTCTTTGATTATTTCGTGATCAGTGGCAATTACGTTATGAAGTGGTACTCATTTTCAAAGAAGAACGCCCTCATTGGGTGCTACCTCTCACAGGAAGAAGAATTCTATGGGACGTGTCCATGTGTGTACGAGAAATTCTGGACCCTCAACACGTTATTGATCCAGCTTCTGCAGTCAGTTGACGAGTCAAGCTGAAAATTTAATCATTTTACTAGTAAAAAATTATCAAAATCGGATAAACATACATGTTTACCTTTTTCTTGTCACTCAGTATACTACCATGTCCAAAAGTAAGAAACATGTTTGTGAAGGATTTTTGAATGTTCTGAAGTATATCCTACAGAAAGAGAAAGCTTCGGAGAAAGAAGACTCGCCGTAAAACTGTGTCAGTGTGAAATTGAACGCCTTTTGTCTCGTGTCCCATTGAAATCGAGATCGCCTTTCATCTGAATGCAGAACAAACAACTGGAGATAACGTTTATACAAATTGTTATTAACCACAACAGTAATTTACATCACAATGGTGTACCATGTGTCGCTACATTATTTTATGATTGATAGTGTGACGATCTAAAAGGATCCTGTGGGTTGGACAAGCTTTCGTTGAAACAATAAAGTGCATTACGGTGACCTCAAATGAACGCGTCAAGTAGATTGACTTCACTTGACACTTAGGTACGCTGAATCCTTGTCCATACCAAACAATATAAAATGAATTTATGTTGCTTTGACAGTCCGTGTCTGCTGTATATCAATTTCGCAATAAGTACTGAGTCAATCTACTTGACGAAATATTCAGAGAACCACCACATACTGAGTAACAAGAATTAAAAGTTAGGCTAAGCGGGTGGGTAGACTTAGGGATCAAAAAATTCAGAAAAGGACTTGTGCAGATATAAAAACAGTTATGTGATCATTTGCAAAAGCATCGCGGAACTTACTCCTAATACCCAACTATTCCTAAAATATATAAATATTCCTCTGTAGCGGTGTGTCGGTGTCGACATCGCCGCAATACACCTCAAACCTCAAAAAACGAAGTTTGAACTATTTCTATTTTTTTAGCATAAAGCATAATTATCCCTTCCGTTGAAACAAAAGCAAGCAACTGTCTTCCTAATCGTGAAAAACGTTGGTCGAACCGATGCGCAATGTCTCAAACACCCTATATATGGCGTGGACCTCAAAAACGTATGATTCTCATTTAATTGGATTGGATAATTAATCAGTTCTGGGTTTCGGGGATGCCTTCGACTTATATGGAGAAACATTTCGCCTACATGATGCAGAAGTAGCTATAAAATATAGGCGTGCAAAGAAAGAAACCAACAAGGCTATTAAATTAAAATGAAGTTCGGTCTGTCGGCCGTCAGTTTAAAAAAGTCCCTTGAAATATCGCCGGCTCTTTCGGCTCAATTTATAGAGGTAAAATGCTATGCTGCATGTTGTATAGGTACAAAAAAGGAAACACTCGTCAGTTGTATTCTGTGAATTCCGAGTGGCAGGGTGGAAAGGTTGTTTCGTGTCTGAGGATAGCAGAGATTGGACACGCTTTTTAGTAATGTGACTAGTCTATCTACATTAGGGTGCTTAAATGGTTAAAATTAACAGATTATCTGAACTTTGAAATGTTGATCGCGTCTCCAGGCCGAATTTTTTGGTCTAGCTGTCGAATATTTTATGTTAGCCTCAGAAAGCAAATTGGAGTCCGAATTTTTGTCCAAAATATCAAAAATTGGATTCAAAGGGCTATCCGACAAACTTAGAAGCCCGACCACAAAATGCCATTTATATAGGGGGTGGGCCCATCTCCTTTACTAAAAAAACAATTTTGTCTTCTTTTGGGTGTCGATCAAAACCCTGGATTCCACAAAAAGAAATTTATTTAAGTTGATAGAACATTTATGTTCACCACTATTTATGTCTGACTAAGTCTTACGTCGCCATTGACCGCACTATACTCCACTCCGCTCTGCTACTCTACCGTATTCAGTACTCTGCTTCCACCTCCCGGCCGCCGAGTTATATGTAGTCCCCATTGCTGCTTCGAGAAAGGTCTGGTGAACCACAAAGCGGCATCTAGAATATTGGAGGTCACTTCGCGTCGATCTAGAAGGTGAGTCACTGCCACGGTCCTCACAGACGCCGCCAAGCGGCTTGTGCGGTCGTCGTTCGCGTAAAAGCAGAGATCGGTCCTGAAGCTATGGCGAGTAGGAGACTCGCACAACAAATGGCGCACATGTCACAATACTTTTTTGCCATCGTCTATCACGCTTTCAATATTCGCATTCGATTTGCAAAGCCTCAGACGTTTTACGGTTACTCTCTCTTTTTTTCACTTTATACATATACTCAGTGACTTCTTGGCAATGAGGTAGACTTCTCCAATCAATTGGTCAGCCATCTGACGCTTAGTAGCAAAACGGTCTCGTAAAGCTAGAAGCACCTTTCTGCAGTACTCCTAGGTGGACCAGTTGGCCTTCTTCTTCTTTTTCTGGGTGTAACACTTCTAATGTCACTTTTTGTAAAGAAATGACGAAGTGATGAATAGTGAGCAACTAGCATCTTTCTACTCCCAGTTATCTCTCTAGGCTGATAATTAACTATTTCTAGCTAAAAATAGTGCCGTAAGTAATTACGGATGACATCAAAAGACCTGATTGAATCTGATGAGTAAAACTTCTTTTTTATTGACAAGCGAATCTCACTCTAACTAATGCCGAAGATACTGGCATCACCTTGAGCATCGGAGATGGCTGCTAATTAAAGGGTGATTTTTATTTATCGATCATTGTGTGTTAAGTGGTTTTGATTTTTAAATAAATTAATTGAATATCCTTTCATGTGTTGTTCCATCGGCATCTTCTTGCGGCGTTGAGGTTTATTTCTCGCGGTGTCATGACCTATGTTATTTAGTACAGTATCGTTGAATGTTAACACCGCATCTTTCATCAATCAGATTACGTTCGGTTTCTTTCTTAAGTTGATGCAGGTTTCTCAATGCTACCAATATACAGAGTATCCCAAAACTAGGTATCTAAACGAAGAAAGGTGATAGACGACACCATTTCTATCACGACACAAATCGGAAATTTTATGAATAACATCTTAAATTGTTTGCTCTTCTTGGATGGAAGTAAAGCAGAAAAGTCTGTCTTTGCAATAGATCTAAAGTAAAAGATTATTTCAAAACTCTTGTTTTTTGTAAATAAATGAAATATAGTCATTGTCAATTGTATTTTTGAAAAGACCACCGACGTGGCTGAATAGTTAGTGAAAAGTAATTCACATATATGTGATTGCTTTTGCCTCAAGAACATCCGTAATTCGGACTGCAGAACAACATCAGCAGGGGATTTTGCAAATGATGACGATGATGACGATGATGATGATGACGATGATGATGATGACGATGATGATGACGATGATGATGATGACGATGATGACGATGATGACGATGATGACGATGATGACGATGATGACGATGATGACGATGACGATGATGCTGATGATAATGATGATGGTGGTGATGATGACGATGACGATGATGTTTGAGGTTAAGCTTGTTTTTGTCAACCAATTATCATCTCATCTAATCAGCATAAAACATCAAGAGGATATCAAGGTGTTAATACAGAACATATAATTCCTTGTCTCGTAGCGCTTCTATCAGCCATTGTACTAATCTAAATGTGCAGCAGGCGTCTGCTCACTTCTAGCATGATATCATTTAGATCACGTTCTAAATAATTTAGCACCCAATTTGTTCATACAAAATTAATGTACTAAATGCTGTCTGATACTATCCTTAATGTTGTACGAGACCTAGCACAAGATTTCGTATCGTGACAGACGTCCGTAAGATTATTGTATTACGTTGAAGATATGAAAAACTTGGAGGGTTTCGAAATCCCTGAGCTCCGAAGCGATTCTGAGAGCTGTTCGGCTACAGAAATACCCGCATTCACTTGAAGAGCTGCAAATTCAGACTACTTCGCATCGTAGCAAACTGCACGTGGAGAAAATGCAATTTTATTGCTTGCGAAATAGGATTAGATTTGTCATGAATATCTTTACGGCAATCGGACACGCGTCCGCGAAGATTTATAATATGAAAGGCGTTACACATAAGATTTACGGCGTACTCCAGCTATATTTCCTTAAGGGACTCTGTATTCGATTGCATCTCTGCGCTTTGCATAGACCGATCCGTTTATTCGTAATTAGCTTTTGGACCAGCGGTGGCGCCATTAAATGAAGCAATCAAATCTCCCAAGCGTGCAAGTTGGCTGTCAATTCAGTAATGTCGTCAAAGATGCAAATCAAACAAACTAATGTTTTATGTTAGCAACAATCAAGCGTATGTCGCTTGCGGCGATCACAGGTTGACCAGCAGCGTTGCCAGATTCGTCGCAGGGAATTATCGTACAAACACGTCAAAATTATCGTTTATTATCCTTAGGTTCTCTCAGGATTGATGAAAGTTCTTTATTCAAACGCATACCCTAAAATTTTGCTTGAACAATGTCCAAACGATTGTAAAAAAAGTTTAATGTAGCTAGAACCAGGGCAACCCGTGCCGAGTTTCGTTTGAACATATCAAAACTTGTTTATTAGACGCGCGCTAGCTAACGCGCTGTTTTCGTTCAGTCAACATTCCGGAGGAATTACACAGTTCTAAAAAGGGAAGGCTTTCCTCTAATGGACAAGTACTAGCAGTTTTGTTCTATAAAATCTGGGAAAATAAGTGTCAATGCCAACCTTACTATTCGTGAGTGCATTATTTACTGGGAAAAGGCACGACTGAGTCTCTATCTAGCTGTCTTAACAAACTAACCTTATACCAAGTTTGAAGAGATTTGCAAAAAATGCAAGCAAAACACGAACTTGGAAAATCTGTTTGATATTGCGCATGCCATGCCCTTCAATTGATGGAAATAAACGAAGATGAAAATGCTTCAATAGATACGACCAACAAGGAACAATCTTGGCATCGATAACAACCTGT